TTATTTCATTAGTCAAAGAAAACTTTATATAATATCAAAGTCTGCTATCATTTTTTGAACCACTTTTTTGAGCGCAAAATGTTAAAATAATACTTATTATAAAATGGTATTTAATATAATTATTTATCACTTAAAATATTATCATAATAGCAAGTATTCTGTCTGTATTAATAATATCCAGTAGTGAAAATTATATTTTATTTTATCAACATATGTGTCATCTTTTATAAACTGAATTACAATCTCTGGAAAACACGAATAACTGGCGATTATATGCTTAAAATGCTGTCAAATCATAGGATATAATATAAAAATAAAATTTAAAATTGAAATACGTTTTGATTACACGATAAAAGTTAATGTTAGGATTATATTCATAGACTCGATCCCTGACTAAAATATACAATTTTGGATAATAATTGCTATTATTGTGAATCGATAACATTGAGAATAGTATGCATTCAATGCAAACGCGTTTCACAATCCTTTCCAGTGTTTTGTTACATCAAACAAAAACTAAAGGCTAATAATTACTAAAATATATGTTTCTTTGAAAATTTATTTATTCCTTAAATAGAGTTATGAATTAAAAAAGCGATGTTTTCTCTCAAACCAAACACACGACTCAAATGAGAAATAATAGTTTCATTCAAACAGACGCTGATTAGCGTTGAAACAAAACGCCACAAATTCAAGCCTCACTTTTATCCGATTATATCTGTCATTGAAATGTGATTTTCTTTTTGGCAATTATTGCCGAAACAGATCACAAAACAAGAAAATGAGTTTCTAATCATTGCAAACAACAAAAACATTTTTGCATTTCACTGCAATCGCAAGAAAAAGTTTTTGAAACTTATTTCAAACAAATCAAATCGTATTGTATTTGTAGCCATAATATGTAACAATCGCACTGTAAATGCTCTATAAATATAAATAAGTGTTTCCTTTAATTATATGTTTTGAAACTATATTTTGTGGACCCGAAGCTGACATTCAAATTAAATTTGTTGTTATAAAGAGTTGTGGATATAAAACAAACAACAAGTTTAAAAAAATTCAAAAATATTAAGAGTAATAATAACTCATTATTAATTATAAACCATAATAATAATAGATATGGTTTAGATATTTATCATTAACTTTTAAAATGCCCCAAAACCTCAATTTTAACGTCGAATGCATTAAAATAAATATAAAATTTATTATACATTAAAAGTATTTGTGTATTGGTTCATGATTTTGCCACAAGTTAAATATGAAATTAAATTAAACTAAATATCAAAATAAGCATATTTATAGGTAAGTAAAATAAGAAATGAGAAAATCAAAAATATTGTAAAATGTCATTGTCACAGTATTTACTAAAACATATTATGCAAATCTTTGACCAAAAATAACCCCTCTCCATGTTTCTAATCGTAATATAACACCCACTCTAATGAATACGCTTATATAAGTTTGGTCATACACCCCCACCTACAAATGTTGCACTTTGGCAACACTCACAAATATAAATTGACACCAAAGGAGTTGTGGCACAATAGTTGAATAAATGTCGTCTTTTTCGGTCAGTTGGCATTTGCTATCAAATACTTAAACCCTTCATATGAAGGTCTCATAAGAGATATGTAAATGAAATGCTTTAAAATGCAAACACTTTAACCTCTTCCCAAAATAACATACCCTTTCATTCGACGCCTTAGTCCTCTTAATTTAATATTCACTAATTGTATCTTAAAGGAGATAATTATATTTATTTTATAATAAATGTCTTACTTTTCACAACAAGTTGTTTGGGAACGTTAACACAAAACTAATAACATTTATAAATCGTTTGCACCATAAAAAGTTGCAGTGAAACGAAATTATATATTATAAACACCAACAAAGTTTCCAAATTTATATCTTTAAAATATTCAAAGAAATTTTAAATATTAAAATTCATTCCACTTTTTAAAATAAGAATTATTACTTTATTAAAACTTATAAATCGTTTTCTGCAAAATTATTATTAAATTGATGAGAGAGAGAGAGAGAGAGAAAGAGAGAGAGAGAGAGACTAATGTCTTTATGTAATCTACTTTCTATTGACTTAACTAAAAAAAACTAAAAAATATATTTCAAAACGATTTGAAAAATATGTATTTAAAGCAAAGATTAAGTGAAGAATTAGCATAAATGAGATGAAATGAAAGATTTGTTACTATTTTACGTTTTATTACTATTGAATATGAAGTGCAAGAAAAATATTAGTGTCAGTAAAACAGTGATTACGTGCGCCAACAAAATTAATAAAAACATTTTCGTTTAATAACTTATAATTTGGGTATTATATGCCAGACATTAGGCTTGATTTGCATTTTATTTTACTCTTTTTTGATACTACAGTAAAGTCGAGAGAATGGGTTGTTTTGATAATAAATAATTCATAGCAACCAACAGGAGAGCACTGAAAATAGCGCATCAATTGACGATTAGCCCTATTTCTGTGTATTTCTATGTACTCCCAGTAATCTGTCCTCAATTACCACATCAGCTGTATTTCACTCACTAAAAAGGATTCATTAAAAAGGATTCACTAAAAAGGGTTCACTAAAAAGGATTCACTTAGAAATTACTGCATTTTCAATAGTCTTTCCAAAACTTATAGCTAGACGTGAGAAAATTGAAGGTAATATAGCACTCAATAAAATTGAATGTCATTTCAATATTGTTTCATTCATTATAATAATGCAATCAATTGAATGGGAATATGCGATGAGAGAAACGAAAACCTCTTTCAATCAAAACATAATAACAAAAGATTTGTTTTGAAATAAATGTCTTTTTATTTAAGAAAAACAACTCAAATATTTTTGATTTGATTTAGTTTTAAATGATTTAAGACATAAATCACTGAGCATTCAGATAAACAAAACATTTTTATAGAAATTGAGTCATTATTTTTCCCATTGTTATCCTCAATATAGTTAGAAATTGTGATTATATTTTCAGTCAAAACCCCCCCCCTCCCCTCCTCACCGGTCATTAATGTTAGTCTTATGGAAAATTGTGGCGACCATTGAATTAAGTGTGTAATCCGTGTTTATAATTATATTCGAGTCAATCATTTTGATTGTAAGCAAGAAAACAATCAAATGAATGAATGAATAGACTCTTTGAATACCACTATTGAGAGATTAATACAGGGATTGAGGGAAAGGGGTTTCCAGACAAACAATTCAATGGTTTTAATTGATTACAAAAAGTTACGGAAATACAGAAGTCATTCATTATAACTGTAATTGTTGTTAGAATACTGTCATTGTGTCTGATTTTTAGAGTAGGTTTTGAACTAATATTTAATATTGTTTAGTATTAAATGCGGGCATATTATGACAATAACAATGAAACCATTAATGTTTATGAACTATAAATACTTTGCATAACTTGATACTTGCTTAGACTTATTTAAATTGATATCGTATTCAAAGTAATACCTTACGAATGATCCATTTTCAAGGCTAATTAAAACAGTGTTACGAATAATTTTATTTCACATAAAACTATGTCTCGCCTTATATTTTGAAATAAATTAATTGATTGATAGCATATATGTTATTGGTAATGATACTCAACATTTTATTATAAAAAACACTTTATAAGCAAAATTTGAGGTGAATTTGCCAAATAAGTGAAACTCATAGGAATTGGTATAAGATTTTGATGATTAGTACGAAAACATCGATGGTTTTGAGGCTTACCTTCAGAGCTGTTCTTGGATTGTCTGCGTTTGGACTTCCATGACATGAGGTTGTTATGCCACTCCTCCTCCACTTCCTTGATCTTCTCTTTGGTGATCTTCACCTCCTCTGCCAGTTTGATCTGTTCCACAGCCTATTCATCACAATACATATCAATTCAATGTTAATTAACTGACAAATACATGAGACTATAGTAATTGCAATTAAATGAAAGATTTCATGCAATCAAGTGGGGGTCGAAACACACGATTAATTGTTGTTTTGAATTTTAAATCATAAATATTCATAATTAATGCCATAATTGGTGTTTACAAATACCACACTATTGTTCCGTTATTCTCATCAATAAAACATTATTTTAATATAACGTTTAATATTAAGCAAAGATTACGCAAAGTTTCTTAAATTCTTAACAAATGCATGGATTAACGAATGATTTTGAAATTCTATAAAAACTTTCCAACAAATAAAATTATCAAAAATTACTATAAAATGGTAATAAAAATTTACAAGTCTAAAAATGATTCTGATAAACATTGAGGCACTTATTATAACTGAGCTAAAACTTCAACTTTTCTAAAGGCATCAAGATTGTATAGAATTTACTTAAGAATATTCCACTCAAAGATCCCCCAAATTATTCTAAAAGTGAATCCAAATAATAATCTTATCACAAAACAAAGTTTTATCTTTTATTGCCTTATATATATTATACTTTATTTATATGGTATTTAAAAACAAATAATAATTGAATAACAATTCCTAATTGGTAACAACTAATAAATAACTAAAAGATTAAAATAACATTGTTAAGATAGTCTCAAGTGTTGCAAAATAACAAACAACTGCTCATAATTAGTAAATTGCTGTACAGTATAATGAAATACGTAAAAATTAATCTCCGATTAAACCACTTGAAGGACAAAAGAGAGCTTAAAACACATTATAAAATATACAATCGGTTTGATGAGAACAACTAAAAACAATAATTTCAAATAATATGTCATTAAACCACACAATATTGTAGTAAAAGAGGATTTAAAAAATTTGTTAAATTAAAAAAACTAAAGAAACAAAAGATTGATTTGCAATGAAACGATTAAACTTCTCGTTTATCGAAATAAATAAAAACTTATGAAAAAAGCAGAAAACTTTTAATTAGAGTTGTATTGAAATGCAGAGTAATTGAGACAAACTTTTTTGGAGAGATCGTTGTTGTGGATCTTGACGAACATTAACGGGTCATTGCGAGGCATTTTACAGCCGGGTCTGATCACAGACGAGACACTATGTGTGGTAATGCAGGCGCCGGGTATGTCATCGGCGGCTATACGTTGGGATGAGCTGTTTGGGGACGAGTTGTCGCACTCCTCCTCGTATTTTATACTATCGGAGTCGGAGTCGGAGTTTACGCTATCAGACATCGCTGTACAGTACTATCGATACAAATGTACACTAAATATGGGT